TGACATTGGAAGTTGGAGCTCTTAGTAAGACTAAGACGTTTCATTTTGCTATGGGTAAAAAGTGACACAACCTGCGATAAATGTTACACTAAAAACTTTTACTGTAGATGTAAAGTTACTATATATGTCTAAACCTTTTTATGTTTGCACAAATCGCTATTTTGGAAAGAAAAAAAACATCACAATGTCTTGAAAAGGAGTGCTCATATGCATTGTTTACTACGTATCAACTAGGTTCAACATCATCCCCATTTCCCAAAGTACAACTTCACTCAATAAGTTTTATCCATATTTGTTTATAGAGATCAAAATATGCATATTTGTCACATGTGAAATACTATTTTTACGGCCTCGTGAATTTAATACAACCCAAAAGTATCCAATATTTATAGTTCGTAAAATTCACAATATGAAAACAAAATGTACTTTATATCTTATATTAATCAAGCATAAAGAAAACGTTTGGTTTGAACTTGAACACTAGAGATTTTGAGAGAGTATACATCAAGTTCAGATTTTGAAAACTTGTTGGTTACCACAATAAACACACAATACATAATAACCCACAGAATATACTAATGAACACAACAGGAATGGGGTAGTTGTAAAGTACGTTCTTGTTCTTTTTCTCTTGTTTATTTAATCAAATACTCCAATCACTGAATTTCATTTATCAGAAATATACAAAGACCGTTGTTGGAAATGGAATCGTGGGACAAATATAATATTATCTTCACCAGATATTGATATAAATGTATGTCAACAACTATATACTGTTTTATAGTAATCTATGATCATTTAAATAATAACAAAATCCACTGGAGATTTGTTACCAATACACTTTAGCCACACACTATAAACAAAAACAGCAGGAATGTCTTAAATATATAATCAAGAAAAATAAGTGTCGTAATAACATATAGTATTTTATACTGCACATTATCATACCTATCTCACGGGATACCCTAATTCTAAGTCACCAAATTCTTTTATTTTCCTATAAATGGTTAGTCTTTATATTGAATAAATCCAAGAGGAAAGAAAAGAAAAAGAGTAGATAACTTTCAAAATTCAGATCATGCAGAAGTTCATTAACTAAATGATTCGAAACTTTTATACATATTGGTACATTGATATTGTCATGCTAAATAACAAGAAACTGATGTCATTTTCAGACGATTAAAAAAAATATTTTCACTAGAAAAAAAACTCATTGAAAAAAGGGCAGTTACAAAAATACCACTTTTTGTGTGCACATTTGCAAAAATACCACTTAGGGTATCCATTTGCAAAAATGCCACTAATTATAGATTTATAAAGCCTATATCTTAAAATTTTAAACCCTAAAAAATGTTTTGACTCCTAAAACCCCCTAAACCTTCATAACTAAACCCTAATAGAACATAATTAACCCAAACATAAATGATATAAAAAAAAAATAATTTTAAAAAAGTGGTATTTTTGTAAAGATTTCAAAAGTGTGACATTTTTGTAAAGTGGCACTTGAAAGTGGTATTTTTTGAAATTTCTCTTGAAAAAATAAGCAGAAGACCAAGGAAAAATCAATGGCAACTACACCAAGTATGGTAAAATACATGGAAAACCATCCCAAGTATGAAAATGTATTCTAAACTACACAAATTATTATATAATACATGGTGACATACACCAAGTATATATAAATATGTTAAAAACTACAAATTGATGTCTTTTGATAAATATTTATCAAATTGGGGGTCAATTTATAATTATTTTCCAAAAACATTAAAAAATCCAAAAAAATTAAAAACTTACAAAATTCAACAAATTGAAGACAATCCATAAAATTTTAAAAATATAAATAAAAAATAATAATTAAATTTGTAAAGTCCCAAAATTACTAAAATTACAAAATTCAAAAACAACAAAATAATTCCAAAAAAGTAAAATTTAACAAAATACATAATTTGAAGGTTAATATAAATATTTAATTATAATTAAAATTTTAATTTCGGAAACGAAATTAATTTTTTAAATTACCAAAATTTATAATAATATAATTTTTTTTTTAAATCTAAATTTTTAAATTTTTTTATTTTGTTTAGAAAAATAATTTATAATGAAGATAGAAGTTAGATAATTTAAAATTCACTAGTTAACGTAAGTATAATACCGAATGCACAAGTAAAAATATTCTCGAAATAACAAGTGTAATATATATGTCTTTTATGTATTTTATTCTAAATTATTGAAATTTATTGAATATAATTTAAACTATACTTTTTTACCAACATTTTAAAAACTTGTGTTTATTTTTTGTCTAACAAATTCAATGGTTACAAAAATATATAATTTTGGAACTCCATATACATTACATTTCCAATTACCTTTTAGATATTAATACTTTTTTTTAATTTTAAAAATTTGGGATTTTACAAATTCAAAATTTCTATAAAAACGAAAATTGATCTATAATTTTAATTTTTGTCTAAAATTTAATATATTGCTTTCTTATATTTTTGAAATTTTATGGATGTGATTTCGATTTGTAAAATGTTGTATGTTTTTTGGATTTTGGATTTTCATTAAATAATTACAAAGTGACCTCCAAATTGATAATTATTTATCAAAAAACACCAATTTGTAATTTTTAACATGTTTACATGTATTTGGTATATATCACTATATATTACATAATAGTTTGTGTAGTTTAAAATACATTTTCATATTTGGGATGGTTTCCAATATATTTCATCAAGCTGGCATTGATTTTTCCGAAGACCAAAGAGGGAATCTCTTGGACTTTTTCCTTTCTTCAGTGGCGTTGAACGTCATTATTGCCGTATCATGATTTTGACATTATTATTTTTACAAAAAGTTAGATGTAAAATAATTTTTTAAAATATACTATCAGATTTATGAAATACTTAAATATTTTGATGATAATTTATGTTAATTACTATAGAAACCGAGACTCATTTCTTACTTGTGAATGTATCTTGTTATAGACCAATATCAACAAGAAGTCTCTCAACTTTTGACAATGGTTTGGACTTGTTCTTTTTGCAAAAACAAATTAAATTTATTAACTTGATTTAAGAAAGTCTGAAACAAAAACGCAAATCCAATCAATTGATGTGGTGACAGAAACAAAAATTGTGGATTCTAAATACGAAGAGTGATACCATTTATACCTTATAGTAATCTAAATTGTTTAATTATGATTATTTCTTCACAAAACTTAAATTTTAAATCTAGAATAGATACATTCATGATCACATGAGTTGAAAAGATATAGTAAATCTGAAGATTTGAATGATAATTAAAATAGGAGCTTGGACTGGGGGATATAAAATAGATAGGCAATAGTGTCAAACTTTAATGATGAAGAAGATAGAGATTAATATATATTGTGGAGTCCCAACACATCCACCCATCTGCCTAACCACAAATAAATTCCTTTCTCTATCATTCTCTAATGCACCCAATGGTGTCTTCTTGTATTTAATGTCACATCTATTTAATTCATACTTCAAACGTTTCTATATATGTGTCACTCGAGATATCAATGCTAAATTAATGTGTATATACTATATATATTGTAATTTAGAAATATATGATTTAGCTGGGTAAATGTAACAAATTGAGAAAATATAATCAAACCACTTAGCTTTTTCTTTCTATTTTAAATGTTTCTTTTGAAATCCTGATTAAATAAGCTTAATGTGTTATATAAAAAAATATAAAATGGTAGTGGAAATTAGGAGGGACCATGAGAAATCATGACCTTGAGTTACATTTCCCATGGATTCCTCGGAACCACCTTTTAAAAGTTTTTAATTTTCTCCATATCGAATAATTAATACTAAGGTTTAAGAGACAAATAAAGATTAAAGAGGGTCATTAGTGTTGAATTATGGTTTCAAGTACAAAATCCAAACAAATATCTCAATTAAGAAATACGCAATGAATGGTTATATGATGATAAATCTGGATATACAATAATATAATACTATCTGAAATAAATATTACTAAATAAATACTCTTGAAAAATTAGAGAAACATACATAACCACAAAAATCAGAAACGCATGAAATCAGAACGGTCCTGCTGACTACAGAGTCTGTGTCTGTTCCATATCAAGATGTGGGGACCAATATTCTCCTGAGGCGATCCTTTTGTTATCTACCGTATACCTCCACTCAATATGTGACACGTGTTGTATGTACCAATAGTCCGGTCCGACCAGTCTCTTGCGTCCCCCTCCACCTTCTTATATGGAGCTAACTATAATTATGTTTTTATTTCCAATAAGATCAAAACAAAAATCCAAAGTTTTACGGTGCATCAATGATAAAATTTAATGCTCTAATCGTCTCAATAAACATATATGTATACCACCAAATATTTAGACTTTGTTACCGAATAACATGTCCCCGTTAAGGGAATCTAATATGGCTCACGAAAGAACTAGGCTTCTTTACTTGTCCAAAATATATGCATAGCACATATGTGTGAGGTTCCAATTTGGAGGTAGCGACTTTGTTTAACATGTAATAAGGTTAAGACAAAAGTAATTGCCTAACACACTCCTGTGCGCCATCTTTGTGGCCTCCAGAATTAATTTGTCGACCAACTAACAAATTAAACAAGGAAAATAGGTAAAAAAACATTCAAATGTTTTATACTACTCCTACTAATTAACTCAATATGATGGAATTCTGTCCAACCTGATGGATCTCCGTTTAACCTAGTATACTAATCCGAGTGGACAATAAAATTATTTTCTTTATGAGGAGAGATCCATGATTTTTGTATTTCCATTTCACATTAAATCTAATTTTCTCGCTCCAAATACTTTAGCTAGAGCTTCTTTTGGCCTTGAGAACCAATAGTATCCTCTTTCCGACTATTTTCGGGTCATTCTTCCCACTCGAATACCATTTTCCGACTCTCTTCCACCATAGTTCCACTTCCCCCTCAAACGACTGATGACATCGTGAATCTCTCTTCATTCCTCAAAAACTACCATTTGGACCACAAATATTTGAACCTTGTGAGATAGGTATATT